AAAATGAAGCCGCCTCTTGACAGATGAGACTGACAGACGTTTCTTTGCACTGAAAGAAACAAAAACAAAAACATCGTTTGTCCACTTTGGGTTAAATACCCCGCATTCTATTTTTCTCTTACCGAACCTTTTCGCCATGATCCCGTTCTCTGAGAGAGGGGCCGGTTTCGGATTTTTTTTTTCTGGCGTTGCCAGATAACGGCACAGAAAGATGCACCAAATGTCACCTTATTGTATCTGTGTTTATGAAATAGTTACTAATTAATAGTTAATAATGAAAACGGTTCAGAACTAAGGAACATTTTATTGCAAAAGCCCAACTTTATGATCAAAGACAAATCCACATCGATGAAAAATAAATCAAAATACTCTGTGGTATTTTCAGGGGGCCGGACCAAATGCGGAGGCGGGCCGGATCCGGCCCGCGGGCCGTAGATTGGGGACACCTGCTCTACACACTGCACACAGGAGCACAGTATTTAGCCAATTTGTACCAGCTAGCAAGTACAGTTGAGACTCTGTCATGTTCCCAAAGTTTCCGAGCAGCAGCTCAGAGTGGATTGGTGTGCATGACCTGTCATGAGTAGCATACCACTTCTGATTGGTGAGCTTGGCCGGAGAGGAGGGAGACGGCGTTTGTGTGAGATCATTTATAAAGCCGACTCTAGGCCGGTAGAAGCCCTGCAAAAAAAAAATAAAAAATAAAAATAAAAACAACAACAAAAACACCCTCCCTGCCTCCGCCAACAAAATATTTTTCGGGGGCATCGGAAATGCACAATCCTTTTATTTTAGAGAGAGCCGGTGGTGGCTCACATACTGACCCAGACTACAAACAATGGCAGCCGAATCAACACGTACTGTGAGGATTTATTTATTTTTAAAACTCATGAGGCAAAACAGATGCATGTTTGATACAACTAGTGATATATTAATTCCAAGAGGCATGGTTAAATTGTGTTAACGGATGACGTAAAAGCAATTAATTTTCATTGTCATTTTTACTTAATGTTTTCTTTAAAAAGTTAGGGTGGGGTGGGGAGTTATAAACCTTTTTTGGGGTGACATTTTTATTTTTAGGCAATGTTAGTTAGCCCTTTTTGACGGTCGTAGGGATGCAGATTGGATTCTATCAAACAACTAGTTGAGTTTTCTTTTTGTAATCCTCCAGGTCCAAACTTCAAGTCTCGTTGGTTAAACGCTGCACCATTACATGAAGGATTTACAGTATACTGTATATGAGATGCCATGTCTGTTTTCATGGTAACGTTAGACCAATTCCCCAAAAGACAGACGACCTAAACCTAAAGGCATTGCCTTCCTGACAAGCGCGAGAGGGACTTCCGGGAAGCGTTTTACAAAGTCATGGCTAACAACACTAACATTGGACTTTTTCCTTTTTGCATGCTGGGACGAATAAAGGTTTTTATTTGTCTCGCGTTGTTCCATCCCAAATACCTGAAACCCGCTCTTTCCTCTTTAATCATGTGCTGTATCTATTGTATCTGTAAATATTCAAAACTGAAGGCAACTACCTGATCTAAGATACAGGCAGAATTATAACGCTGCAACATTTTGAATGATTTGTTACCCTCAGGTTAAAAGTTTTATTTTAGTAACAATGAAATGTCCAAAATGTATGGAAGTTAAGATTCCAACATAAATTCAAAGATTATTTATGTCTTTGTGCGTGTACACGTGACTATGAATTTCTTACTCTTACAGGTCTTGGAGCTTCTGCTGGATTACGCCTATTCATCTCGAGTCATTATAAATGAGGAGAATGCTGAATCGTTGTTGGAGGCCGGAGACATGTTACAATTTCATGACATACGGGATGCCGCAGCAGAATTTTTAGAAAAAAACCTTCATTCTTCAAACTGTTTGGGGATGATGCTGTTATCAGATGCCCATCAGTGTAAACGATTATATGAGCTGTCATGGAGGATGTGCCTACTACACTACGAAACGGTAAACATGCAAACACTCACTACACACCCGCTAAATTGTTAAACGGTGAAATAATTGTATCGTCGCCCAGTAGATTCGTTTCTTATACATTAATCTCCATCTGGGTACCCACTTTTTTCGCTGTCGCATTACTTTTGAAATGTCCAAATCAAAATTATCTGCTGCAACTAAAGATTGTAAACGTACTGTACATTTATTTATAGGTATCAGGGCTCTACACTGAGACCAATTTGGGCACCTTGGCAACCTAATTTTTCAATGGTGCATCTTAAAAAACAAAGAGCTTCCACCAGTGAAACCACTCTTTTGATGTGTAGAGGAGTTCGATACTGTAATTTCTGGACTACAAGAAGAACATGATTAAAAGCTACAACAGCTAAATTCAGCTTTAAGAACAAATTTATACATGCATTCTCCGCTTGCTATTAATAGCTATGAGTCTCAATGTTGTAACGTGTTATTTTCAAAGAAAGAGCTCATGCAGATGTTTTTTTTTTTTTTTTTTTTTTTTTTTTTAACTTACTGCATTAAACACCAGACATAGTTCTTTCTGTCAATGGTGGCCCAAGCAGGGCTGCAGTTTTCTCTCTTGTGTGTGAACACGAGGTTTCTCCATGACAAAATGATAGTCATAGGGCCATTTTATCTTCCAACCACTCTGTAATCCCTGAAGGATTGGCAAGTTGCTTTCTATCTGACCATGTTATACAGTATTTATAATTAAGTTTATGGTGTTTTGAGTTCGGCTCTGTCACAGAGCGAATTCAACCAAATGCTCACCAATTTGTATGATTTGATGAAAATAATGCAATGTGTCTCATGCTACTGACTTTTTAAGAACAGTCTATATGATATATAACTGTTTACTATGAGACAGTAAAAATGTTTATTTTTTGTTTGTCATTTTCTCAACTCTGTGAAATTCTGGTCTATGTCTAAAAGAACAGATATTGATAACTTGGTTTTAAGAAGTGCGAAATGGTCTTTAGATACGAGAATCTGAGGACTTCTATAGTTTGACGAAAGAAAAGCTGCTGGAACTTGTGCTTAGCGATGAACTGGAGATAGAAGATGAACAGGTAAGGGATATTGTTTTTATTTTTGAATGTTACCATTTTTCTCATAATTTGAATGCTGTGGAACACGGATCTACATTCACCTTGGCACTCGTAGCACTGATGCGACTAGCTTTTTCAGTTGGTCGTACCAGCACAAAATTTGGTCGCATGACCATGTTTGCTGATGCGTAGTCATCTCAATTTGGCATACAGTGATGTAAAGATTGAGTGTGACTGAAGTTATATTTGCAAACATATTTTAAAATAACTCTGTTTGCAACAAGCAGCAACTGACAAAACTGGTCAGTTATTTTATTGAGAACTTTCAAAGATGCCAAAAAAAAGGCAACGATACCATGGCAAAAAAATAAAACATCACGAAAATGAGAAAAACAGGAATAATACTAGGGAGCGCGTAACCGAGGCTGCCATGCGTGTCGGCGCCAGACTTTGGACTGAGATGTCCGATGTTGTTCCCAGGATCTGTTGCAACCACTCATCTAGTTTGGGGGTCACTGCCGCGAGTGCTCCGACCACCACAGGCACGACTGTCACCTTTACCTTCCAGGCTCTCTCCAGCTCCTCTCTGAGCCCTTGGTATTTCTCGAGTTTCTCGTGTTCCTTCTTTCTGATGTTTCCATCACTTGGGATCGCTACTACAACGGCTTTTCTCTGCCCTTTGTCTATGATCACGATATCTGGTTGGTTCGCCATTACCATCTTGTCAGTCTGTATCTGGAAGTCCCACAGGATCTTCGCTTGATCATTCTCCACCACCTTTGGAGGTGTTTCCCATTTTGACCTTGGGGTTTCCAGTCCATACTCTGCACAGATGTTTCGGTAGACTATGCCAGCCACCTGGTTATGGCATTCCATGTAGGCTTTCCCTGCCAGCATCTTACACCCTGCAGTTATGGGTTGGATCGTCTCAGGTGCCTCTTTGCACAACCTACACCTTGGGTCTTGTCTGGTGTGGTATATCTGGGTATCAATGCCTCTGGTGCTCAGGGCCTGCTCCTGAGCAGCCAGGATGAGTGCTTCTGTGCTGTCCTTCAGGCTGGCCCTCTCTAGCCACTGATAGGACTTATTGAGCTCAGCCACTTCAGTTAAGGTCCGGTGGTTCATCCCGTGTAGGGGCTTGTCCTCCCATGATGGTCCCTCTTCCAGCACCTCGTCCTCTGTTCCCCATTGTCTGAGATATTTTCTGAGTACGTCATCCGTTGGAGCCTTCTTCTTGATGTATTCACGGAGCTTGGATGTTTCATCCTGGACAGTGGCTTTCACACTCACTCGTCCCCGGCCTCCTTCCATACGGCTTGCACACAGTCTCAGGGTGCTGGATTCCCTCACCGCCCAGGAAATTTTGGGCTTGATTGTACTCCATTCACAGAAATTTATAGGTCACATAAGTCAATTGTACACTCAATCATGACCTTTAACACCAACTTTTGGTGACACTGCAATGCGGCCGGTGAATTTTTACACAGGGGCATGTCGCCTCAGTCATTGGTTGGCATAGTTTTGACACAGGATGCCCTTCATGATGGATCCCAGCCATTCTAACACAGGCAGTGATTTGGAATTTAGGGCTGTGTCCAAATTCACTGGCTGCGTCCTCAGAAGGCCACATTTCGAGGCGCCTTTCTCTGCGCCATGACGTCACATCTGGCGAGACCCAGCCACTCGTGGTTTCCAAAATTTAGAAAGACAAATTGCAGGCTGGACCCTTGAAGGCCTTCAAAGGCTCCTTTTCGTGTAGCCTCCGGGGACCACATAAATTGTGGCGAATCTGTACAGGTTTAATGTGAATTTGGACGCCAGGTGCAGTCGAGTTGCAATGGAAGTGACGTCATACGGCCAAAAAAGTGGCCTTCGGAAAACGCAGCCTATAAATTTGGACAGAGCTAGGGTCTATCATACCCATTCGAATGTTAGTGGCATGACGGGAATTTGAAACCGTGGTTATCTGTGTGAAAGACAGCAATGCACCACATTGCTCAGCTACGAAGTGACGTGTTTTTAATGTACTATCGCTAGTTAGAATGTAGTTAATCTGGCATCGCTAGTTCGAATGTCCTGCATGGTGTTTGTAGATTAGCTATCATGTTAAAGTGTAGAACAGTTGGAAAAGGAAACTCATTTGCGTTGAACTGCAAGAGTGCTAAAGCATCGCTTGAGACACACATCTGTTGTCAACACATCGCAAGCAGAAATACAGTGTGAGTGTGATGTGAAATCTTGTGGCAAAATGTTTCAGAATAAAAATAAATAAATAAATCGCAAGTCAAGTTACTGTAATTCACGTTTTTGGTTCCAGCAGATCATGGGCTCACCCAAGATCACCGAGGTGCGCTCTTAATGGGTATGCCATCACAGTAATGTCATTTTTGTGGGGGGCGGAGGGCAGCAGGCGAGTGTGACAGTCGTTACTGGATGTTCAATTACATTTCTTTTATTTTGGATCTTTTATTGTACTCTATTTTTTTGTTTGTTAAATAAGTCCTCGCATTCACTGCAGGCCGTGAGAGCATCGCAAAGAGGGAGGGAGGGGGAGAGGGAGAGGGAGAACTTCACCATTGCCAGTTGTCATATGAATTATGAATATGAAAATATTGTTTACTCTCATCTACCTTGGCAAACTTTTTGTTTTATCTGTAGATTCATGCTTATCGCTGTCAGTTTAGCAAAAAAAAAAAAACAGTAGCAACTTGTAGTTCACGAACCTAATACAGTCATACCTCGGTTTTCGACCATAATCCGTTCCAGAAGGCTGTTCGAAAACCGAAACCACGCTCTTTAAAAAAAAAAAAATCTTTATTGAACACGTCTGTTCACCATGGAACGCTAAACGAGGAAGCGTCACTTCCTCGTGTAAGGAAGGCGAGAGGAGTCAAGTGACGCATTCAAGTGCGCTCAGTTTGTTCGAGAACCGAAATTCGGTCGTCATCCAAGGCATAAAAAACTCGAAATTTTTGGCCGAAAACCGATTTGGTCCAGGACAGAGACGTTCGAAAACCGAGGTTTGGCTGTGGTTACTCAAAGATACAGTGTAACGTGTGTCATCTCAATATGCCATTTTGTTAGTGACACAATTGGAAGACCTACTAGGAATCATTTCCAATGTCCTTTTTTGTAAAATCATAGCGTTGAACCAGGCAGTTTTGCATCGCTGTATTAGCTTGTGTTAGACCAGAAAAATGTAGTTATTAGTTAGTTCTTACTGTTTGTTCGTCTTGCTTCCTTGAATTGTAGGTCGTGTTTAACTCTGTGATGCGATGGGTTCGAAATGACTTGGATAATCGTCGTCACCATTTACCAGAGCTGCTTGGGGGGATAAGGTTGGCTCTTCTCCCCTCTGAATGTCTCCTGGAGGCTGTTGCATGCGAAGAACTTGTAATGGCTGACAAGAGGAGCAGGTATCTGATGTTAATGTATTTGTTCAACCTTCTATTCGTTTTGGTTAAATGAGAATCATTCATCCTGAAATTCCGATGTTTCTTTGTTTTCAGGATAATTGTAGAAGAGGCAATGCAATGTAAAAAAAGAATTCTTCAAAATGATGGAATTGTGACTGGTCCCTGTGCTCGACCGCGCAAGGCAGGGCACACCCTGCTGATATTGGGAGGCCAAACTTTTATGTGTGACAAGATATATCAGGTAAAACGGGAACTGCACACCCTGTCATGGTGAAGTACTTGTGTATAACACAAATACATACCTTTCGCTTTTCCTGAATGCTAAACTTGAACTTCAGAAAAAATGATCTAATAAAGTGGTGCCTTGAGATAGAAGTTGATTTGAATCCGTGACCAGGCTTGTACCTGAAAACACTCACATCTCAAATTGCTTTGTTCCATTAAAATGATTGGAAATGCCATCAATCCATTCACCCCGCGCTCAAAAAAAGTCCAACAATGTTGTTTGGGTTCTTTACTAAAGAAAAATAGCCCCCTATATTACTTCATAGAAACATTGAGTAATAACATAATTAATTAGAATGAAATTATTTAACAGCCTGTGCATCAAGATTAACACTGCAATACATTTCATTGTGCGACTCCTTCTGGTGTGCACCCCTTGGCCACCGGGGGCCTTCTAATATAGTCATGCAGACACACATGAAAAAGAATATTACGACTAATTCTACTACTATTAGAAGTGACTCACTGAGCTGCTGTAATATTAGTCATTTTTCATCGGGGATAAAAAAAAATGTATACCTTTGAGTATTGGTATATTATTTGTGTACATGTGTTGCACAATCGCTTTTGTTCAAATATTTGTTGCAAAACGCTCGGTGCATCGTTGACGTGAAATGCCGTCACCAAAAATCTTAACAAAGAGTGCCGTTGACATCAACTATGTTTTTTTAGGGCAATAGCAGTAGAATGGTTTTGGCAAACTGGGTTGATCATTAAGCGGGAACGTTTATAAACAAAAACAAAACATGAACTATGGCTAGTAAATGCGCTAGTAAATGCATCCATTTACTAGCCAAATCCATTTACTAGCCAAAAGAGATCCACAATGGATCTCTTTTGGAGGAGCTCACCATGTGTCAAAATAGTGTGCTCGTTCTGAAACAGGGCGGACGCTAGGAAATGCAACCGTTAGAAGCAGTTTTTGAAGATGAAAGTGTTTTCACTGTAAATCTCCCTTGAAGAATGTCACAAAAGAGAGAAAAGATGACAGACATTACTCAAATGCAGAAGTACAAAGGATGAAAAAATGTATGTACGTTCGGTGTACACATAGGCACGCACACATTTTTTTTCCCATCCATCATATTCATTTTCTGATCCGCTTTATCCGCATAAGGGTGGCGGGGCGTGCTGAAGTCGAGATCCCAGCCGTGTTCAGGCAGTAGGCGGGGGACACCCTGAACTGGTTGCCAGCCAATCGCAGGGCACACAGAGACGAACAACCAACCGCGCTCACACTCACACCCAGGGACAATTTTGAGTGCCATGCATGTTTTTGGAATGTGGGAGGAAACCGGAGTCCCCGGAGAAAACCCACGCAGGCCCGGGGAGAACATGCAAACTCCACACAGGGAGGCCGGAGCTCGGATCAAACCCACAACCTCTGCACAGTGAGGTTGACGCGCTAACCACTGGATCATCGGGCCGCCCACATTTTTTTTGTCCAAAATAATTTTGATTAAAATTTAATTTGAAATTGAAAAGGAAAACCTTTCTTGAGTTCGAAGCAGGAGTTTCATCCTCATTTGGTGACGGAAATTCACTCTTGACACCATAACACCACCCTGAGTGTGTCTGTTACCACCTCTTTTTGTTGTTGTTTATTCTCACTGTCTTTCTAATTAATACCTATTAAGGTTGATCACAAAGCCAAGGAAATCATACCAAAGGCAGACCTTCCTAGCCCAAGAAAAGAATTCAGTGCGTGTGCCATTGGTTGTAAGGTTTACGTGACTGGAGGAAGAGGGTCAGAAAATGGAGTGTCAAAAGATGTCTGGATCTATGATACAGTTCATGAAGAATGGTCGAAAGGAGCGCCCATGCTTATAGCAAGGTCTGTTATAATACATTTATTTAATGTGTAATTTGGGTACCAAGTGTGAAAAGTTGCTTCATTCAATAAGTCATTTGTATTATTTGTGAACCAAATGCATTTTCCTCATAAATCAGGATGGATTGTATTGTATTGTATAATGAGTAGATACGTTCATGTAATCCTTGGCTTCAGAACCCACATTCTCAGATCTTACGCACAGTTGATCTTCAAAGGCACAACACACACACCTCACTAAGGTTGTTGGTTTTTTTTTTGTTTTGTTTTTTTTTTGTCACTTGCACTAACTTAGATTTGGTCATGGTTCAGCTGAATTGGAGAACAGCCTGTATGTGGTTGGAGGTCATACAGCCATTACCTCGGTTTATCCGGCCTCTCCATCCGTCTCTTTGAAACAGGTAAGAGAAAGTCTTGTGTTTGACCATGATACATTTTTAATCTAGCCCCCCCAAAAATTGGGTAGTAAGTGATATTGTCTTTAATATTTTTATAGGTTGAGCGGTATGACCCTGTTAGTAACAAGTGGACTATGATGGCTCCCTTAAGAGATGGTGTCAGTAATGCAGCGGTGGTCAGTGCCAAATTAAAACTGTTCGTTTTTGGGGGCACCAGCATACACAGAGAGAAAGCCTCGAAGGTTGGTCCTGCTTGATATTGCTGTTGTCATTTTGTTTCAGCGTCTGCCAAAACTCAGCCTGGCAGAGAGGACAACAGTGGATCACTTTGCTGTAATTGTTTTGTTTTGTTGGATTTTTGGGAGGGGTGCGGGTTTAACATTAAAAATAAATTAAAGGGAAAAAAAATTCAAGGCAGGCATGACAAAAAAGCAGTTTGTGAAGATATTTTGATAATCTATTCAAAGGTTTGGATTTTTTTCAAACAACCCCAAAAGAAGAAAAACGCCAGTGGACTGAAGTTTTGCAGGTCTAGGTTTTGGTGTCTTATACGTTAATGTTCGTGCTTAGCATTAAATGGTTGTCAATGTCTTCTGTTTGAAGGTCCAATGCTATGACCCTGTTGGGAACCGCTGGAATATTGCAGCTGAGTGCCCGCAACCTTGGCGCTACACAGCAGCTGCAGTGTTGGGGAGTCAGATCTTCATCATGGGTGGTGACACCGAATTCACAGCCGCCTCTGCTTATCGGTTTGACTGTGAAACAAATCAATGGAATCGTGTTGGCGACATGACATCCAAACGGATGAGCTGCCATGCCGTGGCCTCCGGAAATAAGCTGTATGTGGTCGGAGGTTACTTTGGGACTCAAAGGTGTAAAACATTGGATTGTTACGATCCAACATCTGACAGCTGGAACTCCATCACCACTGTGCCTTATTCACTGATACCCACCGCTTTTGTCAGCACGTGGAAACATCTACCTGCCTAGGTGGATTACAACCCGAGGTACATTATGATTGACTGGTCAAAGTGCTTTTAGTATTTTGGCGCTTTGTGTTTCACCGCCATTGAGAAGCACAGTTGACCATATATATGGCAACACATTAAGCATGTCATATCATTTTCGACACCGCTTATCCTGTACAGGGTCGCGGGGGATTGCTGGAATATCTCCCAACAGACTTTGGGCAAAAGGTGGACTACACCCTAAAGTGGTCACCAGCGAGTCGCAGGGCACACTTAGAGACAAACAACCCTACACACCCACATCAACACCATCACTTGAGTGGGAACTGATCCCACGCTGTCCACACACAAGTCAGGAGAGTGTACCACTAATTGTTTTATAATGTGTGCTTGTGTAATCAGTGTATTGAATATTTGGTACTTTCTGAGGTTGAAATTTCATCAAAATGTTTTACTATTTAAATACGAAGGGGTAGCTCCTCATCCAACACTGCATTGTGCCGCACATTATTTTTAGCAATTCAGCTTGGCTTTTATTTTTACACGTTTACCAGTGAGCCCTGTACTACAGAGGTAGTACCAGAACAACATTCACAGAGGCAGTTTTACCATCACAACAATGAGTCTGTGGCGGTCAATGCTCATTTTCCCTCCCCACTCAGTGCTGCTTGGCTCCTGGCTGGCCAAACGAGCCGCTCCCATCACAAAGCTCTCCGCACACCGATCAGTTCACATTAGAGCAGAGAACATTGATCCTGCTTGTATATATGCTTGTCATCATTTTATTGTTACATGTTGTTTGTTATGTTCTCACCCCCCCAATTTTGTTGTATCTGTACCATGCAGTGACAATAAAGACTTTTTATTCTGTTCATGCTCAATCTTTATGAAGAACATCTGTTACAGCTCTGGTTGTTTCTCAAAATTGTTCTAGTAACAATGTTGAGTTCAGTGTCTCAAAGATTAAAAGCGTTCAAGTCGAAGTGCACACTGACCTGCATGTGGTGTGAAACTGAATGGTTCATTAAATCAGAACTGGATCCTTTGATCGTTCGCTAATGACTGTTGCAATTTTAAATACGTCATTCATGGTAAATTAATTCCAGTCAACGTTCAACTGGGCTGGATATTGGAGGGCCTATTGCAGGTCCACTGTGAATTTCAATCTTGGAAACAACTTTACTGACGCACACCGTTAGATGGCAGCAATGCACGATTTTAGATTTATAATTAGCCCTGGTTCCAACCACATGACGGATTCTGAGGAGAAAATGGTAACACTCGCCTACTGGCTGAAAGTCAGACAAGTTGAGGCATTTTACACTCAAACAGAGAATGAATACTTGCTGGCGTCAGGGGGAATTATTTTAACAAGAAAATCATCGCTTTTCATTATACCAAAAAAAAAAAAAAGTACATGAAGACCAGTTGTGTCATTTGTTTAGCCAGAATTGTTATTACGTTAAGACGCAGCTATATTATGTAATTGGATCCATATCTACCCATGTACAGCACTCCCACTTTCATCACGGTCTCTTACTTCTTTTTGCCCCCACTTTAAAAATTCATGCAGTGTAAGTGCAGCTAGTACTTGAGGAAATAGCATTTTTGTCTTCATCCTTTGTCCGGCACTTGCGTATACAATATTTTAAGATAACAGCACTCAACATAAAAGCAAGCACCTAAACAGAATTTTCCTCATAGAATCAAGGATCGATGATTCTAGGATCAGAGGTCTAGGTAGTGCTCCAAAGACCCCAAGACAGGATGTGGATGTGGAGATCGTGTCGGCGTTCGTTGAGAGCTGTGTATTACGGAGCCCCTAAGGGGACATGGAAGGAAAAAAAAAAAAAACTTTGCGAGATCTCGCAAAGTAATGCGAGATCTCGCAAAGTATTCCAAAGTATTGCAAGAACTCGCAATCTTTTATTTATTTATTTATTTTTAATGCTCGTTGATGTGCTTCCGGGTCATCGTACGTCTCATCAAAACAACAATCATGGAGCGTGTTCAACCGTTCGTGAGTTTAATAGAATTTTACTTTGAAATTGGCTTAAAATACAAAGACATTAAATCTGTTCTTGATGTTAAATACGGTTTCCAAATAAGCGAAAGACATTTGAAGCGAGTGCTGAACCAAAGAGGACTATTTCGTCGGAAAACGTTCAATGACTTGGGAGTCCTGGTTGACTTCATTCGCAACCAATTGCAGCATTCCGGACAACTACACGGTTACAGGTGGATGTACAGTAAGTGCAGAGAATATGGACTACTTGTCAGGAAAGAGGACGTTCGTCTGGTCCTGAAAGAGTTGGATCCGAGAGGAGTGTCGTTAAGGCAAGCAAGACGTCTGAGACGACGAAACTACTTCTCCAAAGGGCCAAATTTTATATGGCACATGGACTCCTATGACAAACTGAAACCATTTGGAATTTGTATCAATGGGGCAATTGATGGTTTTTCAAGGAAAATAATGTGGCTCAATGCCTACACAACAAGTAGTGACCCGAAGTTGATTGGAGGTTACTACATCGAAGTTGTGCACAGTTTGGGGGGTTGTCCTCGAATCGTTCGAGCTGATCTTGGGACTGAAAATGGTCACGTTAAAGGCTTCCAGCGTTTCCTGGTGCCAATACCGCCAGGCAACACTCTTGACAGTTACTTGGATGGAGCCAGCACCGCCAATCAAAGAATTGAATATTGGTGGCGGTTTCTTCGCAGCCAGTGCATGGAGTTCTGGTTATCCCTCTTCACAGACCTCAGAGACAATGGCTTCTTTGATGGTGGATTTCTGGACAAAAACATCCTACAATTTTGTTGCATGGGACTTA